CGAACTGCTATCAGTTAGAGAACCATTGAAAACCACCAAGGAGTACTGGACAGCTGTTTCGTTCTAGTGAGAAGTCGTGACCAGTGAGGTCCATCCAGTCGGCAGTCAGGACAAGTGTCTGTCGATGACATTGGCTTATGATCACCCTAAAATCACGAATTAGTAGAAGTTAGAATTCATGGGCTAGCAATTGAATCGGGTCCTAGTGACTGGATACTATACGAGCTTGCTTTGTAACTGGAAAGTCCTGGGTTTGAATCCCACGAAGTCGGTGCATACTACCGATGAATGCCAAACTAGGCTGAAGAAACCGCCGTCCAGTACTCTCTCTAGTGGTATTCAGTGGTTTGATTTACAGCTTGATGCCACACCGTATTTTCAGTACAGGTATGGCATTTTCAGCATGGATATCGGTAGCCCAAATTTTACAGGCCGACCATAGATATAGGGTGTGCGTCGGCAGGGGATCAAACCCCGGACCATGTGCATGGTCGGCGAGAGTCCTAACCACTGTGCCACCGACGCACTAATATTATAATATAACAACTATGACAACTCGTCGCTTTTGTTGCTACCTCCTTTCATGGATAAATTGTATATAAATGCGATTGTACAACTAAAGAAAAGAAAATTGGCTAACAGAGCTTCTTCTCTGAACTACTTGTCTTGTTCTTTTCATTATTGCCTAGATGGGGATTGTTGTATACTAATGGTAATTCAAGTGCAGTATAAGAAGATGCCATGGAACTTCTCATGAAGAGGTGAATATTTTTCATTTTTCGTTAGTCACATACAAGATAATGACTAGTAAGTCATTAAAGGTCACTACGTTTTTATCTGCAGCCCAGATAACACTTTCGCCTAGACACAATTTACTTGAAGTGAAGTAGACGAAGAACTTCTATCAATTGTTGTTGACCTCCAGTTACTCTAATAAACATCGAATCTTTCAATATGAATAAGAAGTGATGTGTGCAACACTCTACTTACTAATTACTAGAAAAAGACGGCATGAATTCTCATTAGAATAACACTTTAAATCCACGAAAAGGGTTCACACAGTGATACACCCATTGACTGGGTATTGGTTTTCAGGAGAGCTAAACACACCCATCCCTGCCTCTTGCGAGACGAGACCGGCATGCAGGATCATCCTGTGGCGCAACCACTGGAGAGCTCTCTCCCTCGGTGTGGCTTACACCACGAAAAGGATGCTGTTGAATCCCATTTTCGCTTATCGTCTTCGGCTACGTTAGCTGAGATTGAGTTTTCCTACAGTATTCGAATTGATTCTCATACTATTTTCGCGATATGTGGTGACAGTTATTACGAATTTCTTTCTTATTCAGGAAAATACAAAATAGGCCTAGTATATGTCAGCAACCCTCTTCAAATTGTAATAGATTCACAGAAAATACCTCCGCAGGCTACAAACAAAATAAAGAGTGGAAGCAACTGAAACACACACTAGCAAATATATCCGGTGCAATGACTACGAGCAGAAGTAGTAGCCTAGAAAATCCGAAGAAATTGGAGAAAAAGTGACAGCACAAGACAGTAGATAGTTTCTTAAGTCTGTTAAACAGAATTACACAGAAAATCTACAATTAGCGGAAGTATGTTAGAGAATGACGAGTTAGAAAGTTACTCACATTGAAGTTGACTGAAGAGATTGGTGAAAGTCTTCAAGTAAATTACTTCTTAAACTTCTGTCATCCGATATCCACTCTTGACTTCATTGGGGATACTGACTGTTGTTAAATTTCAGCGGCCTATAAGCAACTTAGAAAATTAAGGGGATTCTTTCCACTATTATAATATTAACCGCCTACTCGATGATCAAATGACATAAGTCTAAAGTGAAAATTTTAAACATTGATACGCAGAATTACTTCAAATATCACCCTGCCCACCACGCTTTTCCACTAACATATGATAATCGACTGGTATGTTAGCGATCGCCTGTCAAAATCATGACCTTGCACTTTTTTTCTAATGTGGAGTTAACATGGATTACTGATGCAGTTGACAGACTGTTACTCATCGTTGTCTGATATCTACACAAGATTATATTACTTGATCATTCCATGGTGAACTCAGAGTACCAGTTGGAATACCTATTGTGTACTCAAAATATTGTTGTCTGTTCACATGTATGATCACTGAGTAACTCTAACTTTACCTTGTAATGCATGATCATTCACAGTTATAATGGACTGATACACTTGTCTCACTAGATAAATCTTGCATAGATTCTACTTTCATAGTCATGTCTTACTAAAGATGATGAGGGTTGATACAGAATAGTTTTTAAACTAAATGACTTTGTGAATTGTTTTATCATCTGCTAAAAATGGCTTCATACACTGTTCGGTATGAATTCTGTCGGTTAGTACTAATGCATTGTCATCTTAACATGTTGAAGCATTGATTTATTGGTCAGCTTATATTGCACGTTTAACACAGGCTTGTTGTGTCCAAATACTGGAAACATGCAATCTCCCTCGGATATCTGAAGAATGCTTATAATAGGTTTCACACACACCAATTATCAATTAAGTTGAAAAACTATATGATTATAGAGAAAATGAATTAGTTACAGGATTTTATCATGAGCTGACATCAGTTAGAGAACCATTGGAAAACCTGGACAGCCGTTCCGTCCTGGTTTAGGACTCTTCGCCAGTACGCACTCGACACCAGGGTTCGAACTCAGGCCCAAGCAAGCTCGTATACCATCCAGTCACCAGGACCCGATTCAATTGCCAGCCCATGAATTCTAACTTCTGCCAATTCACAACATAGCGCGACCACTAGCCAACGTTTTCGGCGAGTATTTGTCCTCACACCCGAACTGCTGCACCCTACTGGTCACGAATTCCCACTAGAACCCCAGGTAACTACATACCTGAATAGAGCCAGTCACCAGTGAGCATTTCATCGATATTCAAGTAGGGGTGGGTAGGGATTCGATGGATTGGTTACAGGATTTCATTGTGAGCTGACATTAGCTCAATGGTTTACGAGCTCGCCTTGTAACCCGAAGGTCTTGGGTTCGAACCCCGGTGGGTGCGTACTGAGAAGAGTCCCAATCTAGGACGAAACAGCTGTCCAGTACTCCCAGCTGGTTTTCCGATGGTTCTCTAACCAATGTCAGCTCATGATGAAATCCTGTAACCAATCAATCAAATCCCTAGAAACCAATACTTGAAAATGAATTAGTTCACTCTATTGAAAATTTCATCTATCTGAAATGTCAAAAAAAACAATTTTAGCCAATAAACGGATAGTTTTGATTTCATCACTGATAGCACTCCCTAATGGTTGCATACAATGCAACGCGGTTAACTCTAACATACGCTTGATGTGAATGATGAATAATGATAGCATATTTGAAAGAAAAGCTTAAATACGTTTGACTACCATCACTTTACTAAAGAATATAAGTGATACACTAGACAAACTGAATGAATTTCAGTTGCTGTTGTTGCAAGCATCTTTTAGACTGAAGTATCATGGATGTGTGTGGCAACTGCCTGCCAACTGCTCACTTGCAATATAAGTATAAAACTTGGGCACTGTGGTAGAGCATAACTCCATTATGGATAACATTTTATTTTGATAAATCACACAGTGTTGTACAGTAATATTAACTGATGACGTTTCGAGCATAAACTATTGCTCATAATCATATCAAGTTATTCACACAACTTCTTTCCTTCATTTACATACAAGTGTGCAATCGATTAGATATTGGAATAAAATTCAATATGAGATAATGTACATTCAGAAATAATAATAATAAGTCATCCACTGTAATACCATATAAGGAGGGGACATCTGAGGCCCTACGTAGGATTCTTAATAAAGCAGGAATAAGGGTGGCATTCAAACCTTCAAACTCACTCAAGGACAAGCTCTGTAGGTTAAAGGACCCTGTAGGTTGACCCAATTAGACAAAATAACATAATTTACAAAATACCCTGCAATGACTGTGAAGTTAATTACATAGGTCAAACTAGTAGGTTGGGGGTAGTCAGATTATCAGAACGTAGGAATTTAGCCAAGGTAAGAATGGTTAACCGTCAAAAGATAAGTAATTTAGAAAAAAGCTCGGCAATTGCACTTCACGCATTAACACACAACAGGGTGGGAGAGGGTTACAATTCTAAGAAGTAATATAAGTAAGTGGAGAGAGAGAGATTGATTAATGAATCCTGGTTCATTGAGTCTACACCCAACACATGCAACAGAAATGACTCAATGCAAATACCAGAAATATGGAAGATATTATTACCGCCGGTCAAATTACAAGAGAATAATAAATAATCATAAAATTCTATTTCAATTCAAACACATCAAAACATTCTAACAAGTAACTTATTATGACTATAAAAAACACTCGTTTTATTTCCCATCTAATTGTAATTGATCACTAGCACTCATATTATTATTTCTGAACGTACATTATCCCATATTGATTTTTATTTAAATATCTAGTCAACTCCACACACGTATATAAATGAAGGAAAGAAGTTGTGTGAGTAACTTGATATGATTATGAGCAGTAATGAATTGTGCTCGAAACGTCATCAGTTAATATTACTGTATAACACTGTGAGATTTGCCAAAATAAAATGTTATCCATAATGGAGTTATGCTCACTTGCAAATCACAACACATGTATTATAATAATTTATATAATAGATTGCATCGAGGATTTCATCATGAGATGACATCAGTTAGAGAACCACTGGAAAACCTGTGATTACTGGACAACTATTTCGTCCTAGTTCGGGACTCTTCAGCAGTACGCATCCACCGGGATTCAAACCCAGGACCTTATATATATATATTATATAATAGAGTAAAACACCTTGGTGAAATATATATATATAATAATTGTGTAAAAAAATAATTCATAAGTAATGAATGATAATGATAGCAACAATGCTTAATAATGAAGAAAAGCTGTGAAAGCAAAGAATAGTAGAAACATATGGGATTATAAAATACTTTCTGTTTATAACAATAAATAACCTCTAGGGAGATTTAAAATATATTTCACAAAATATATGTGAACACATAATATATACAAATAAATAAGAAGAAGCATCAACTCTGAGAAATCGAACAGATTACCGTTATGAAAAGAAGGCAGAATAAATAATCCTACAATCAATAATTGATACACTCAATCAATTTTCATCTATTTGAAATATATACACACAACCAGTTTGTAGCAAAAAGCAGTGCTCACGAAAATACAATCAGCAATAAAAAAAGAAAGAAAGAAAAATAGTAGTAGGTGTAGGACTAGTCGAAGTGTAGGGTTAATGACAATCTACAATATGTTGCATTATATCACTGCGTTGTTTGCTGTGAAAGTCACACATTGGACATACAAATTCGTCATCATCAATATCATCATCATCAACAATGACCGGAGCCGTAGTCTGTAATCCACTTTGTCCTTCTGCTGCATCCCTGCAGTCAGCATCATCACTATCATCAATATTTATTTCGTCAACTACAACATAACTATCATTCTTGTTGATATTATCTTCACCGTTAGTAGATGGTTTCTCAGAATCATTACTTCTACTAATGTTACTCCTAGATGGAATACTTTTACACATTGATTGTTCATTAACAGAGGAGTCAACAACCAGTATTCTATGTAAATTAGAAGTTGATCTAGATTTTGTCCCATCTGATACTTCTGATGAGTTCACTGATGAAGTGGAGGCGGTTGACTGGGAAGATTTATTGCCAGTTGCGATAGGAGTGATGCTAGGCGTTGTATTACTATTATTATTATTATTATTACTATTATTTGATGATGAACTGGATTCAACAGACGCTGGGACGTCATCAAAATTACCACGACTATTATCACCATCATCATCTGGTATTTCAATTCTATGAAATCTTTCGTTATGCGCATTCAAGTCTTCAACTGCTACGAAGAATTCCCGACACAAGTCACACCTATGAAACTATAAAATTACAAAAAAGTAGAAATATAAAACCCATGGATTAAATACATTCATATATGATGGGTAGATCATATTTCTGTCACTATCTCTCCATCTTATGGAAAATAAAACGAATTACGACTTAAAATATGCACTTGTCTGTGCTAACGATCAACAATTTTCATCGTTATCTGAGAAAACTGTGGACTCTCCATATTACTGTTGTCCACGGGACAAACAGGTTGTCTGGCGAGTGAAGATAGTGATAAAATGTAAACTGATAAAAACCTTTACAACAGCCTATCATAGATATTGTTTCACCGTTCCATGTGGATATTCAGCTCCAATGAAAATGCTTGTATAAAATCTAGTAAAAATAAATATGACAAGTAATATTCTCAAAATACTGTTGCCATACTACTGACTATTCAAAGTGACTATTGAATACCAGTGTATGTAGCATAATTCTAGAGGAATATTTTTAGTAAAAATGTTAACCGTGGAGTGCTGGAAAGCTGTTTCATCCAAGTCTGGTACTCTTCAACACCAGACTTTCTGGTTACAATAGCCTACGAGTCCGCTTTCTAACCAAAAGGTTCTGAATTCAAACCCAGGCCGGTTCTTATTGCTAAAGAGTCCTAAATTAGGAGGTAGCCGCTGCCTAGTACTCCCTGGTTCTCCAACTGATGTCATCAAGTGATCAAATCCCTGCAAACCAACACTTGATAAAAATGTAAACACCGGTACACTCAGTTATGAATAAAAGGATCCGTTTATTGTAACAATCCAAAGATTTTTTAGCCTACTTTTGAAAAAAATTCTTTGATTTGTAAAAAATAATCAGGTAATTCTCCAAATATCGTAATCACTCTTTTCAAGCTTTAAATGGCGAATTTGTGTCAAGATAGGAAAAGTAGTGAACTGAAGAGGTTCGAGTCATACCAATATAGAAGAAAAGAGATGATAAATAGTGTATTTGCGACTGTATATGAAGAAAAGGAAAGGTACACACTCTTTAGACTGATGAATCAACTTACTTTACTTCGCCATATTAGAAAGTTTTGTTCGATATAACACAGTAATAAAATATTAATAATTGGATGATGTTTTGAGCACAATTTACTTCTCATTATCATATCAATGTAGTCACACGACTTGATAACTTGCTTTATGTAGCCTTACTTTATTCCATGATGACTTTTTTGCAATTTCGAAAACATATCTGGTATAGATATCGCATCATTTCGATTTCACGTGTTTTGTGTTGATTCGTTGAGCAAAGATTCAGTGAATAATCTCCCTCTTTATACCTACCTATCTATATTACGTTTTAATACTTTTACCCTATTCCACCCTATTGTGTTATTGTATGGAAATGAGGGAACTTTTTGCCAGATTACCCCATTTAATATTAGGCTCAATCATTCTAGTTCTAGCTAGATGCTTAGGTTCTCCTTATCTAACTGACCCGATCTACTGGTGTGAACTATGTAATTGACTTCAGATTCACAAAATAGCATACTATAGATTCCTGATTGAGTTTCAACACAAAACATTGAACAAAAGCACAGACGTTCAAGTTGTCACTCCATGGAAGAGAAAAACGGATTTAGAAGGATTCTTATCAGCAGAAAACTGAGGGAAAAGAATAGTAACAAGGAGAAACATTAGGATTTAGTGGGTATGGCAATATGCAAAGAGTGAATGCATTTGCATCACTGAGAACAATTTTTAGCCACATCACAAATCGTCTGCATCCAATGGTTCTTATTTCATTTTATGCCTAGAGAGTGAATTAGACTTATTGGTTATCTTCCATGTGGCAGGATTCTATTAAATGCTGCTGAAAGCTACCTCTGATCATTCTCCTTGAATTTCTCCAGTTTAAAGAATGTCATAATTCTCCTCCACTTGTTGTCACAGAAAGTTCTCACATGTTTCATTGTGACATTAGTACAAGTATCACCTTCAGCCTTATCGCCCTATATTACAATACCCAACATTTCTTTAATGTATGTGTAATTTGTACAGAGAATGAACAAATATTGGTGCAGAATAACGTGGATCCATTTTATTCCGTTGGCTTACATTATCTGCATAAAGTCAGTGTACAATTTTAACATACTCATGTTAACCTATAGGCATACTTGTAAGGGCGTCATAGTGAAACAAAACATCAAGATGAGATAATGTATGTGAAGTATTACAGCATATATATATATATATATTATTATTATTGTATCCTTTAATTCCTACAGGAACATAGGGCTTCAGTCGTGCGTCTCCATTGCGTTCTGTTCTCTGCTAGAGTCTTCACCTGACTCCAAGTCTGCCCACACGCTTTCATCTCCTCTTCACATGACCTCCTCCAAGTCACCCTTGCACTGACGACTATTACAGGTCATAAACACCAAATCGTTTGTTGAATAAAAACCACGATATAAAAGTGATACAAGTAATCATTGAAAAAGCCAACCTGGGATTTATCACCGAAAATAACACGCCCATTATACTGTTCTGTAGTGACTGGTGTAACTAATCTTGTACTCCCAACAACTGATGTGGTTGGCGTTGTTACAGCTTGAATTGGAGATAATGTTGTGACAACTGGTTCCGGACTGATAACCCGACGCTGTTTACTTGAGACAATTACTGGGCTTTTCGTAAGGTTACCACCTTCATGATTGCTGGAATAATGTTTCCACAGTAAAATCGCTCGCTGACATGCATAGGGGCATAATGGACACCAGTACTGGTGATGAGCCTAAAAGAAAAAATCACAAAATAGGCAATTTATGAAGTATTGTTAAATAAAATAACAATAAGGCGGTTGAAATTCCCAAATATGAATATTATCAAACAGTACGAGAAGTCGAAATATTGTTTTGAGAATCTATGATTTATGAAGTAAGTGAATTTTATCTCACTAAGGATCAATACGCATGATAAGCATAGGCATACGACAGCAAGATTCAATTTGTTATGAGAGTAATTAGGAAAATGTTTGATAGGTGGTGACTAGCACTGGAACACAGAAGGCGCCTTTCATACTACCTTCCAGTATCGGTTATGGAGTTTCTACTGAAACTGGAAGCCGAAATCCACCAAACAGTCCACTGAGCAACAATATCCATCTCTTGTACAATAGCCATTAGTCACTATTACTGAAACCTGTGATTTCCAGCTTTTCACAACCTATCACAACTGCCACTTTATCAAACAGATGCTCAGTCATTTAATTCATTGTCATTACGTTGTTGCTTTTCTTGTTTGTAAACTGTCTTGTTTCATTTTTAACATCTTTACATTTGTTGTTATCTTTACTTCCGTAAGCTGTTTTCCATTGTTTGACATCCCTGTCTGTCTATTATAGACGTCATCGTAAACAGGTTGATGTAGGTAAATTGGTTAAACTTGCCACTGTAACTCACTATCAAACAGAGTAAGATATCAGTATAAAACTTGGACACTGTGGTAGAGTATAACTCCATTATGGATAAGATTTTATTTTCATAAATCACACAGTGTCACACAGTAAGACTCAAGGTTAACTCTTTGATCATCTAGAGAGTAAATATGAACACCGGTTGCACTTGAAAAACGAAATGAAGATGGTAAGCACCGGAAAATGCATCTCAGAAAGAAGTCCTGCTAGAAAATTCTTGGTTTCTCTACGCTCCTTGTAACTTCCTGATACCGTTAATCAGTTGAGGTACACTAAACTGTGTAGGGCTCTTATACATGAAACTATGAAGATGTGGCTCATAGCCTCAGGCACCAACGACCCTAGGCTGTAGTCCCACTGAGTGTACTTCAAACTGAGTAACTTGGTTGTAACATTGGCCTTTATATAACAGGCGTGGGCAATAGCTCGATGCGTGAAAAATATGTCTTCGGTAATTGAGTTTTAACTAACTAACTATGCATACAGCCGAACAGTGCTTAAGTAGTGACTGTGGAGCTTGTTGATCAAAACTTGTGTTTGAGATGATAGCAGCATCTGCATCCGGCAACAATCGGAGGCTGTTTCAACTAATCCAAATCGCCGACAGCAGGAAGCATGGTGTCAACGAGACAGTCTGTGAGGCAGATAGTATTTCGATTCAAAACCTAAAGGCTCTTGGAACACTTGATGGAGAACTTTGAGGAATAGTTAAGTTGGTCGATTAACACCCACCTGACAAAGCGGAAGTCCAAGAGGAACACTAATTACTCAAGTGCCGTAAAGGCACCAGGTCCAAACAGCTTACACTGAAAGAACTGATAGGAATTTTAGGGAGAGCATAGAAGATTTAATGTGAAGTAAAGCCACCATTATCTTTATCTATAAGAGGAGCTTACTTATTGCACGTGATAATCACCGGGCTATTAGTCTGCCGCAAGTCCGTTCAAAAATACTGACTGCCGTTGTGCCCGACAGAATTAGTAGGACATATGAGGAGCAGGCTTGAATTTCTTCAAGTCCTGGATCTACCTATTACGTGTTCAGGTGTTTCAGGTCAACAATCGTTGTATTTTTTTACATTAGGACTGTCTTTGATTTATTGGATGGGACTGTTTTCGGAACTGTTCGCTACAAAGAGGTGTTCGTAAGAAGTTCTTCGAGATCCATACAAAAAAACTTTAGGTAGGAAGAAAACATACAACCACCCATTGATACTGCTCGCAAACTCGCAACTTCTCTTCAACTTCGCGTGAGATGATATTCAGAAGACATCTCTGGAGAATGTGGGCAGCAGTCGTGTAGATTTGTTGCTCGGAGAAAGACCTTCCAATCGTAAATGTGCAGACAATGTTGTCCTACTGTGAAAAAGCGAAAGCTACTCAATCAGTTCGTAGTCAGTGTCTCAAGGTATCTAATTTGTACTGTCCAATTGCAACATTCACACTCAATCTTGCAGGTGAGCCGTAAAAAGTAGTCCAGAAGATCACGTATATAGGTAGTTACGTGGAAGCTGATAAATATGTTACAAATGAAATTTTTAATCGTCTAATGGATGTCGGCACAGCACCCTGCACTGGTCCTGGCCCAGTTACGACGCTATTTTGGCTGTAAAGTGTCGGATTTACAACGCTTCAGTGATTGCAGTCATGTTCTAACACCCCTGCGAAACCTGGTCTTCCCGAAAAACGGATGTGAGGTAACCCTGCGTACTCAGTCACCACTGTTTCTGCAGAATGTTTACTGCACAAGTAATTCTAGGACTTCATGGTGTGTTTCGACATGGTGGAAATTTTTTCTCACAAAGTAATATCATTTCAGAATACTGGCTTCCGTAGCTTAAATATATGCTAGGAATTTCATCCCAGCAACCTCTATGTCATTCACGTTTTGCTATTTTAGGAAGTGGATGGAAAAACCTGAGGTGGTCACATCTCATGACCTAAAAGCCATGGGATGGATTGTTAACACACCGGTTAGTGCATCACAACAATTCGAGAGACTATCCGAACCAGTTGCTCGGGAAACTATCCTATATGGCTAAAATCGAAATAAATGGCGAATATGTTGCGATTTCCGTCATTTTTGTGTTTCTGAAAGTATTAAGAAGTAATGGATACTCTTGAGAAGGATACTCACTTATTTGTTCCCCATTCTGTTGACGTTTGTCAACTACTTCACCTTTCTTCGGCTTATATAGTTCTACTATTTTGTATGGTACGTTTCTTAGCCCCCATGTTATACAAAATTTGTATTTTAAATAAATTTTAAAAATGCTCGATTTACTGGATCAAAATGTTCCGTTGCAGCAGACAACAGGAAGCTTCTACAGGACCACGAGAGTTGGAGTAAAATATCTCTTTGGTCAATTAGTTCACAGTCCAATATAGCTACAAAACGTCAAGATTTAAATCCTACGATAAGGCAAATCTTGGTCATCTGGGATGAAATTTGTAAAACTTCGTTTATAAAAAAAAAATTACTGTAAGATACAGAGCACTGCAAGGTATGTTTGGATGTACAACTTTAGAGACCTGCACTTTGAGTCTTTTATCTTTCAAAGCGCCGTAATTGGTTCATGCGAAGGAAATATTTAGCTAACACTAAGTTCATCTTGACTAGAAGTACGAATTCGCCCACAGCAATCTAACGTTATGCTGGTAACTGCTCTTAGTCTTATCATTGCTCAACTGATCTTTTTGCCATGGGACAATCGTCCCAACCGACATCGTTGAGACGTGTAAACTCGATCACTATGTCAAAGTAGCAGTTATCGGTATAAAAAGTGAGGGAAAAGGTTAACACAGAAGAGTTATTAAAATGAACTACAAAAAGAAAATATATACAGTGAGTTGAAAATTTAGTCAACAGTTAAAGTTAGACAGAGTTCCTAAAACCCTTAAGGAAGTCTACTATTAATACAGTTGAAGTCGTAACCTGTGTTAAACCTTTTAAAAGTGCCAGTTTGTTAATTTTCTTTTCCTTCACGTTCCCCAGTGGAACATAAGGCTTCAAGCTTGTGGCTTGAAGTTTCTGTAGCAGTGTTTATTTTACAGGATGGAGTTGCTAGCCTCATGCCCAACCTTTCCTCTTCACCAGCATTATTTCTGCCTTAGCGAGGTAAAGGAGTGAGTCGGTGGCCGGGGATCGAACCCCGGACCATGTGCATGGTCGGTGAGCGTCCTAACCGCTATGCCACTGACGTACTACGGAAAGTGAATCTTGGAGTAAACACTAATGCACATTGCACAAAAATCATTTATACATCAACATTCATAATTCCAAAGTGACTACGGGAAAATGATAACCAAATAAAATAGAAACTAACCTGAGCCATATGCAAATCTAAGTGACTAGTTGTAAGGAAACAGGAATTGCATACAGAACATTTTACACATGAACTTCTGCCATTTAATGCACAACGCACAGTTATATTGTCAGGTAATGTATATGAGACGAATGTTGAACGAGATAAAGAAGAGTACAATGTTAGGAGATTGGATATGTTTGATACAGCTATCACATTATTAGAGTCTTCTTGATTCTTTGACGAGTAATATGTACACAAAGCGTCGAAATCACCAGGAATAGTGAAGAAATGCTCAGTTTGTATATGAATAATGAATGAGGTGACATCTGGAAACCCACGACAACATCTTGAACAATAATGCATACCAAGAGTAAACATGTGGACGAACTTTTGCTGAAGTCATTAAACAAATAAAAAAACATGAGTTCATACATCAATGAAGTGAAATTTAATTTGACTAAAAATCCACAATATTGCATTAATTTTATTAAACATTTTAAAAACACCATAGCACGTAAATTTGACTTTGAATATTTCTGCACACATAAATTTCTCATAAGGCGATTTTGTTAAGACTAGCCTATTTGTCCTTTAATTTTTAAACCTTATCCTATTTATTTATGATAAAATTAAGCAGACTTTTTGCCAGAATAAGAGTGCGTACACAGGATAAAAAATCTGGCTTATTTTACTAACCGGCCATAAGCACAAAAAGGAGGGGGAGTTTAGGTGAGTAGCTAGCAACCGCACCCCACAGAGGTTCCCGGCGAAATGAATCAGAATGCAGAACTGTTTGCAAACTTCTGTGCCTTCAGTTATTTGGTGATTGGAGACAGCACATACAACCACAAGGATATCCACAAGACGACGTGGGTTACAATACATGGACGCACTGAAAATCAGATAGACTTCATCTCAATCTAAACAAAGTGACGACAGAGTCTGCTGACCACAAAACGCAGTGCGAGAGACCTTCGAGTAAAGTTGAAAGCCTTCGGAGAAGCAAGAAACTGACGATAGTTCAAGTTCAACACTCTCTTGATGAACGAAACAACAAAGAACACCTTTACTGTGGTCACTAGAAAAAGGCTGGCGATACTAAACACATAACTGAGGAGACGTCTGTGGAAGAAAACTGGAACTCTCTGAAAGCGATATGTATGAATATCATAGGCAACAAGAAGAGAAGAAACAATGAATGGCTCTTCGCAGAAACCTGCAAGCTGAGAGAGCAGAGAGGGATACTGAAACAGAAGATGAGCCAGCGCATAGAATAACAACAAAAGGATCAGCTAAGTATAATCTACAACGCGCTGAACAAATGAGTGAAGAAGAGTGCTAGGAAAAACAAAAGACGCTTTCACAACACACTGGTAGATGAAGCGGAAAACTGCAGCTAAGAAAGTCATTAGAACATTACATCAAATAACAATGTCACTATCGGGGAACAGATCAGCTCAGATGAAGCCAATGAAAGAAAGTGAAGGAAACCCAATTATTACAGAGATGGAAACCAAGGAAAGGTTGTGCTAATCACTTTAAAGGATTCTTTAATCAATCACAACCTGCATCTCGTCCATAAATACCGTCAGCAAACACAGAACTACTGGTGAGTATCTACCCACCAACAAAAACAAGCCATTTAGACTGTAAAGCTACTAAAACTTAGAAGTTGTAGGATTTATTAGAATTTTCTCAGGAGCACTGAAAACGAACCCAGAAACCACGGTGAACTTTCCCACACCACTGCTGTGAAAGTTTTGGAAGGAAGCAAAGGCACCTACCGATTGGAAGAATGACCACATCTTCCTGAACCTCAAAAGAATGGTGACTTAAGCCTTTGCAAGAACTAGTGTGAGATCATGTTCCTGTCCACCCCCAAAAAACTATTAGGCCGTATCATCCTGGAAAGATGAAAAGATGTTGTGGATGGAAGACATAGCCCGAAATACGTTGGATTCGGGAAAAGCTATTCATGAGTGGAGCAAATAGCAAAACCATGCATCATTACCGAGAAGAATGACACACAAATTTCTGCATCGACTTTGAAAAAACCTTTTGACAGAGTGGACCGTGAAGTAATTTCGCAGCTTCTTCAATACTATGGTGTCCAATACCATAAACACTTGTAAACCTCAATCAACAGCTATATGAGATGCCACATGTCACAACAGAAGGCTTAGCGAAGAGTTTTAAGTGAAGATATAAGTAAAACGAGACCATTTTGTTTCACTGATGATATTCCTAACTGTGGTGACAGGTCATGACGAGTGAGGGGATAGGCATTCGCTGGACTGATAAAACGCCCTAAAAGACCTGAACTTCGCGTATGATTTATATCTCATGTCCCAAAGGCTCGAAAATTTACAAGCTAAAACTAACAAGTTAGCAGAACAGGAAGAGAACGCAGGAATTCAGGTGAACATCGAGAAGACAGAGATGATGAAGATACCCAACCAGCAACAACAACAACAACAAATACCAATCACCATCAACTGGAGAAATCTTAAGGAAGTTATCTTTTTTATTTACCTGGTCATCATCGTTTCAACTACAGATGGTACAAATGAAGATGTCAAGGCCAGGATCAGAAAAACAAGACAGGTATTCATTGCTGTGTAATCGGTCCACATATCTACAGCACTTAGCAAAGGTAACAAGACCTGGATTATTAATACTAATATCAAGTCGGCCAGTTTATACGGTTTATACACATGGTGCATCAACAAAAGCATTCCCAGTAGGTTGTGGATTTTCTTCGATACTGACAGTCAGATGGCTAGTCGGAAAGAATAACCAACAAGAAACTCTGGCAGTGAGTGAGTCAAGAACCTATCGCCACACAAATATTCAGAAGGAATTGAAAGTGGGCTGGACACACACATAAGAGACCGTTGAATGACATCACACTGTACGCTCTCGGGTGGAACCAGAATGTGAAATGACGAGTTGGGCATCTGAGGATGACATGGAAGAGAGCATGTAAGGGGCGAATGATTTTAGACAACCGTGGAGCCAGCTGAAAACGATCGCAGAGAACCGAGTAAAGTGGAGGCGTGCTGGTGAAGCCCTGTGTTTCGCTCGGAAAGAAATGAACGAATAGTAATAATATATTGTCATTATAGATAGCACCCAAAATACATGTGTCAAGAATACTAACTAGTCGTCAAAACAGATGTAGCTTTGGTCGGTGGTGGAACACGGAATCATAAAACTAAATTGTCATATTGCAATTAACAGATGCTAACAGCGTTTTCAGTTACTACTAATTAAATGATATGAGTAAACCATTCTTGTATTCCGCAAGCCAACCAATTTTGAAATTTTGACTTCATTTTATTAATCTGACCTGATTGCAATGAAGCATCAATAACAACAACAAAAATGAACAAACTTTACAATAGAAATCAGCAACTGGATAACAGACTGGTATGACTTAATTATATATATAACGTTGAAGGCAAATTTTGAAATATTTGAAACTAAGTGCCAACTGCTTGATATTACGATGAGAAATGCAAACATTATTGGCTTCGAGGCGACACTGATAAGACAGTCGTTGGTGGGAATATGCAGAGATACGGCGTTATATGATAACCGGTAAAGTTAGATTAATCACACAAAATACACAAAGGAGATACACCTCCCACTTACAGGGTGCTTAGTGATTTTGTGGACATAATAAGTTGAACTGCACAGTTTAGTTTCACCGCAAAACCCACATTTGGTACCTTGGTGACTGAATAATCCACTCCTTGTCCACAATAACTGACCACACATTTCACAGGGGAAACTTGGAAATTTTCTTGGACATTCACCCTAATTTGATTTCACAGAAAAATAAATCACGAATATAATTAAAATCACCACTAGGAATACGTTTCGAAAGTCTAGAATACACATAAGATGCAATTTAAGCAACGCCAAAATAAAATAATCTTAATAAATGTGTACAACCTTGGCACTGTGGTAGTAAAGAATTCGATCTTAGTTTGTTTATTGGATGTATCACACAGTGAAAGAGTATTATTTACTGGATGACGTTTCGAACAAAATTTATTGTTCATAATCATATCAATTATAAACACACGACTTCGAAACTTGAGTTTTATAGTTTTCATTGTCGTCTCCTATTTGTCGTAGGGTTAGTAGAATTTTCAGATATCTGGGACAGGTGTTGAATCATTCCTATTACAAGTATTTTCAGTTGATTCGATAAACAAAGCTTCTGTTATCAATCTCTCCCTCCACCCTTTGACATTAGATTTTAAAACTGTCATTTTTATCCCGTCCTGTTGTATGGTTGTGTGTGACTGCATGTAGTGCTATAGCTGAACTATTCCTTAGGTTTCTTATCCCATTAGGGTGAACTAATCTAGATTTAGCTAAGTTTTTATGCTCGGCTAGTCAGACTGCACCTGTTCCCACTAGTTTGACCTATGTATCTAACCTGACAATCATTGCAGGTAGGGTATTAGATAAACTAGATGGTTTTGTTTCATGGGCCGCTGCACAGGGTCCACTAGCCGATAAGGCTTGTTTCCAATTGAGTTGGTGGGTTTGAATGCCAGCCACTCTTATTCCTGCCTTGTTAAGAATTCTGCGTAAGGTTTCTGAGGTTCCTTCCTTGTATGAAATTACTACTGATGATTTAGATTCCTTATTGTTGGTGTTGTCTTGCGCATGTTTGACATGCATGTCATAAGGTCCGTTGTAGACCTTATACGCCGAATGAAGCCGTTTCTAGGTAAGTCTAAATGGTTTAATTTAATGCCCAAAACTAATAACCTTAGTAAGATGTATGGTGTTGTGAAAGTTCATAAGTCAGGGTACCCTATTAGACCAATAGTTGATTTTAGAAATTCACCTACTTATGAATTATCTAAATATTTAGCCATGGTATTAAATCCCATAAAAATCCACTCGAAATCTAGACTAACTAATTCTTATGAACTAAAACATAAATTGAATAATTTAAAATTAGATAATGAAGAAAAAATGGTTAGTTTTGACATTGTCAGTTTATATACACATATACCAATAAATATGTCTATAGAGACAGTCAGAAACGAACTCATTTCTGATCAAGAACTCGAACTTAGGCCGAAAGTGCCACTTGAGGACATAGTGCTAGGAGTGCAGCTATGCTTGACTTACACAGTGTTTAAATTCCAAGGGAAAATATACAAACTGAGGGAGTTGCCATGGGGTCGCCAATGTACCCGGTTGTGGTAGATATGTTCATGGATAGGTGGGAAAACATAGCGATTGAAACGTTCAGCCCCACCCCAAAAGTATGGTGGAGGTATGTAGATGACACATTCACTGTACTTAGAATACAGGATACAGATAGATTTTTCGAACACATTAACTCAAAGGTGGAGGCAATTCAATTCACTTATGAATTGGAAAGTCAGGAAGGGGAATTTCCAATGCTAGATTGCAGCATAAAAAGAAAAGATGGTAAGTTAAACACTAGTGTTTATAGGAAACCCAAACATTCAAACAGATATTTGGACTTCCGATCATCCCATCCTGTCAGTAAAAATGGGATTGGTGAAATGTTTAAGTGATAGAGAACAAAAACTAAGAAGTACCAAGGAAAATCTAAAACAGGAAGTGAGACATATAAGAGAAGCCTTGAAACTTAATAACTACCATGATAAATTAGTCAGAAAGTATGCAGGGAAATATTAAAATAATATGATAAATAATGACAGTAGTCATAGTGATAATGATAACAATAATATTAATGACGACATGCATGTTAAACATGCGCAAGACAACACCAACAATAAGGAATCTAAATCATCAGTAGTAATTTCATACAAGGAAGGAACCTCAGAAACCTTACGCAGAATTCTTAACAAGGCAGGAATAAGAGTGGCTGGCATTCAAACCCACCAACTCAATTGGAAACAAGCCTTATCGGCTAGTGGACCCTGTGCAGCGGCCCATGAAACAAAACCATCTAGTTTATCTAATACCCTACCTGCAATGATTGTCAGGTTAGATACATAGGTCAAACTAGTGGGAACAGGTGCAGTCTGACTAGCCGAGCATAAAAACTTAGCTAAATCTAGATTAGTTCACCCTAATGGGATAAGAAACCTAAGGAATAGTTCAGCTATAGCACTACATGCAGTCACACACAACCATACAACAGGACGGGATAAAAATGACAGTTTTAAAATCTAATGTCAAAGGGTGGAGGGAGAGATTGATAACAGAAGCTTTGTTTATCGAATCAACTGAAAATACTTGTAATAGGAATGATTCAACACCTGTCCCAGATATCTGAAAATTCTACTAACCCTACGACAAATAGGAGACGACAATGAAAACTATAAAACTCAAGTTTCGAAGTCGTGTGTTTATAATTGATATGATTATGAACAATAAATTTTGTTCGAAACGTCATCCAGTAAATAATACTCTTTCACTGTGTGATACATCCAATAAACAAACTAAGATGGAATAAAATAATCTTCCCTTAAAAGTACTTGTTGTATTGTTTTCAATGACCTAAAACTTAACTAGTTTCACAGTCTACTTTATACCGGTGAAGTTTTCTATTCAATTAGTACTGAACTATATCGTGTAGATGTGGAAGTTAAAGGACAATTATAGCATGTAAAAAGTGTTAGATGTCCGTTACAGTTAAGTGTATGGATACGAAAGCCAACCAAACAAATATTAGTATATAAATCTTCCTCTCTCATGAAAAATCAACACTAGAAAGCTACGCTTTTTTATGAAATTCGATCAATGGTATTCCCTATATAGTTTAACTTTTTACTTAGATTACTTGACAAACGAATAGTGTAAGTCTTTCGGTAGCACAAGCTGCACTTTACCTGTCTAATACAGACCAAGTAAGTTTGTGATTGCAGACCATGAACTAGACGACTATTGAAAAGGACTTAATGATAGAAAAATGTCTGTCGAAGTTTATAGCAGGAGACCTTCATGATGTCATTAAAATTCCTACTCTTTAACAATTTAACTATGATAATAATCCAATCCAATTGAATTTACTCACCAGTTAAAGTAATATGAAATTAACATACAAAAAGTAGCTAAATTAATGGGCACATGGTTTATGAGCACTAGGCCATGAGTTACAATATATCTGATGGTTTATGACACCGGTTGTTAGATCCGACTGAAATCGTCAAAGTGGGTTTCCAACCTTAGAACTACCGACTGGTGTCAAGTGTTTAATTTAATTACTCGTAGACCTACATATAGACAATGGCAGATAGACGAATTACATCAACATTAACGCGTAAAATTTTGTAATATGTAACCTAAATTTTTTCCTCTTGTAAGAGACATAGTAACGTACCTTAGAGTACCGATTGTTCAAGAGGAACATATTATTGTCCTCACACATTACCACAGGGAATATTAGTTGTCCAGTAGATGTTTTTAGTCTTACCACTACCTCACTGACTTCATTAAGGTGTATTATTTTCAGACGCAAGTATTAGAAAGAAGAAATCTATTGAGCTACTATGATAAGCCTGATAACCAAGTCAAAGTATTGACTATTGTAAGTCAAGTAGGACTGACTGTGTTAAGAGTGAAAGGTGATGATGATGATGATTAGTGATGCAAATGAAGACCTGCCATATGTTTTAATGGTCTTTTAACAACTTGATTACTTCCTGACTAAGTCAAGCTCTCTTGTCTGACTTAGTTTTGTAGTATGAAGTAAAGATATTCCCTCATCATAGTTATGCGTATATGTTGACTTTAACAGATAATTAGGGAATTCATGATACTATTTTGAGGAGTCAGAGTCACATAAACATTTTCACAGCCCACTACTTACCCAAAGCAATAAACACTCTTTATCAACAGGGAAAATACTTATGAGCAACTTCACTGTTTACAGTAAGATTATTCTCATATTTGATCAAAAATTCGAAAAAACTGGGAAAACTTACTTTATGATAATATACAATATGGAAATGCTGAACACTTGTTTCGGTTGAAATACTGGTACCGCACACTTCGCATGGAGCTTGATACATTGGCAATACACGAGGTACACTAGATGATGGATTTCTTATATTTCGATCGATCTGACCATTTGGTCCCAGCTGGATGCGTACTGTATTTACACTCCCATTAGGTGTAGACAACCCTTGAAACGACTCTTCTGAAGTCAAATTAGTAGAAGATGATTCTATAGATTTTGGTTGAAAACGAACTTTCGACTTGTTAGGAAGGGATGACACAACAGTTGCTTTCGATGGCGCAGTGGAACATGGTGTAACTGGGATATGTGTACCTCCATGCAATGGTACACTAGATCGTTTAGTAGTCGTAACACTGACCGAATAATTTGGTTCTAAAGGTAGGGAAAACTTCGGTCTTATACTGGGAGCGGATTTACTGAGCAAAATGGTTGGTCGTAGTTTAGAACATGTAACTGGCTTCGACACTAAGTCAGATACAGGATATAGGTTGGATGGCAAAGCGAAACTTCGTTGTGTCATTGAAGATGATGAGATAACTACAGTTGGAAAAGCGATAACACTTTAAATCAGGTTAATTGATCTCAACGGGATTTGAATTGCAAGGTGCTGAACTTCTATAAAGGAATGATTGTATGCATAACTGATACTTAAGTGATCGTTAAAATATAAAAAGCAGAAATTGGTATAGAAAACATGATTTAAAACCAAATGAATGAATTTCATAAGGATCTACTAAAAACTGACAGTCGTATCCGGAACCGATTTTTTATATATGGCAGACGACTTCGTTGCGTATATCAGTAGTAGTCCAATAAAATGCAAAGCAAAGAAATAAAACATATTTTTAAATCCTGGTTTTGTAATAACAAGAAAGGATTAGGAAACCATAATAATGTATCAACAGAATCAGTGACTGGCTTCATATGACAGAAAATCCACCTTAAAAGCAGATTTCGACGTTTACTGTTACCCATTACCAGGGGAAATTACAAATACAGGAAACTTTTGCTTTCTTTCTTTGACTCCTTGGATTACTAGGAAGACTAAATTCCCAACTTAGAAATTCGCAAAAGTGTAAAACTTCGTTAAATCGCACAAACATGGGAGAAAGGTTGAATAGAAACCGCAATCGACGGAAATACATGCGAAAAAGGATAACTAGGCGGAGATTAGTGAGGATTTTCAGAATCTGTAGCATGAAAAGTAGTGGATATCTTCCAAACAAATGAACTGAAAAATGAACGCAGCTTTGCTGGTTTCTATGTTGGCTTGTCGAATTAATAATCAACCTGAATAGCATTTATAATGATCTCACTCTGTCACCTATGTAACATGAGGCCAGTAAAGACTAACAGTAACGAAAGTAGAAATTTGACATTGCAGGTAAAGTTGAGGTTTGCAGAAGTGAAGCAGAAAAGATTCTGGCAAAAATTGACTACATAGGTATGTTTAATGAAATTTTACAAAGCTCAAATTCGAAACAAGGCTTTTCCCATTGGAAATATGAGTACTGTATGGTCGCAGCATTTTGAACTCCAAGCATTCCCAAAGAAGTTAAACTTTAAGCGCCGAAGAGAGAACGCACTAATGACCTTAGAACGTTTAGTCAGCAAGTTACCGAAAAAATGTGCTTAATGAGGTGTTATGATACTAAACGGGGTATCTGATAAGTTTCAGGTTACATTTGGGAAGGGGTAGTAAGGTTAGGTTTAAGTTAGGGACAGATTAGAGCTACGATAACCTGGTAGAGCTAACATTTGTCTTTAATTCTCTGTAGTATGTCTAAAGTGTGACCCGACTTTCTTCTGTGCGCCCGAGGTATACCCTGAAGTTACTACAGTGTGCTACAAGTAAATAGTTGCTAGGTTAAAAAAACACTAAGGTTAGGGTTAGAAGACCAAATTTACCTTTCAGCGTTATGGCTTTTTCCAAGGTCGTAGGTGAGTTCCTGCCTTAAGTCTATCCTAGAGTCAAAAACATTGTTCCTCATGGATAAACCGAAAGATTCGCAACCGTAAATGTTGGTGGATGTTTATCACACTTGGTATTTTTAAGGCTATAGAGTTGCATAACATCATCAAGAACGAAGCTATTGACGGAATTCGTCAATCAGGGATGAAGTTTGAGAGGCATCTAGCTCTAAATACAGCGGCACAACACAAGAGGATTTTTTCGTACATAAACCCCCAAAAATAAGACATCCAACGGAATTTGAAACTTAACTATTGATGACGACACAATCGAAGAGGATCATGAAAAAAGCGGAAGCAATGGCAGAATACCTCTCAAAAGTCTTTACGCATGTGTTGTTACCTCCCATAGCAGCAGCGCTAGCCGCATCAAAGAAATACAGACCAAAATATCGTACTTCATGCTCTAAAGAAACTAGGTGCAGGGAAGTCAATGGGACACGATGATCTCCCTCCTTCGCTTCTCAAGGATCTATCAGCGCACATAGCTGGCCCGCTTACTATGATCTTCAACCTATGATGAATGGAATGTTACCGTGACTGAAAAAACCGCATAGGAGGATCCAGACACTGCCCCTCAAACTACGGGCCCATCAGTTTCACCAACATCTTCATCAGTATACTGGAGAGAGTCATCAAGAAAGATATTATGGCCTATCTGGAAAACAACTATTTGTTGCCCAGGGCACAGTATGGCATCCGGCGAAAATTCATGTACCTGACAAACCTCACAGTAAGAGGGATCTGGGCCAAGGTGTCGCGAAAAATCCATTTACATCGTTTCATAGACTTCAGCAAAGCTTTCGAAAAAGCACCTCACACAAAACTGTTCATGCAATTGGAAATTTCTGGGACCAAGGGTAGCTTACTGGACTGAATTAGGGATTTCCTCATAATTAGGAGACAGAGTCGGGATCAACTCAAAACTTTCCTCCCAGACAGCAGTACACAATGGAGTGGCACCGTAATCGGGCTTCTCTTATTTATCTTTTATATCAACAAGTTACCTATACTCACCAAATCCCCTATGGTCCTCTGCGCAGATGACTTAAAAATTTGGAGAGAGCTAAAGGGCGAAAATGACATGCTCGTGTCACAAGATCTCAACAAATTATTAGATTGGTCCAAAGAATGGAGACTCTCCATCAATGTAGTGAAATGCGCAACTATGCGTAAAAGAAACGTAAGAGTCAGCTCATACGAACTAGAGTTGACCAGCTGAGCTAGAACCACTTCACTCATGCCGACCCATACCCAATGGGCCTCATAATAAGTTACAACTTAAAATGCTACAGCACACAATCGCGCGATGGTCACTCGAAGTTTCAGATCTTCATGTGTTATACGCGGAGTGTTCACTAGAACTACTACAGATATGTTCATTTCAGATACATCTCTGATAAGGTCAAGACTGGACGACTACCTAGGTAGACGTTCCTATTCTTAAGAGGGATTTACATATTCTAGAAAAAGGTTCAGAGGGAGGCAACAGATGTGATTCTCAGAATGGCCAATTTATCATACAATGAAGGACTAAACAATATGAATCTCTTCAACTTGTCATATCGTAAGCAGAGGTAATCACACTACATTGTTCAAAATGTTAAACAATGACTACGGATCTAATCTACTACCTTTTTTCCTTCCCACTAGGTCTAAACACCTAGGATGACATAGCAGGAGAGTTAAATATCCGAGGAACTATGCTGCTGTGGAATACTGGTTCTCACAACAAGTTATAAACTCGAGGAACAGATTCCTAGAAGAAATGGTGTCACAGCCATCAACTGAATAATTCAAGGGTTTAGAAAAGTACAGGAACTTACTAGAAAAGGAGTAACACAGGATTTGAGCCTTCTATCCTCACGCCATAATTCTAAAATTGAATGTAGTTACACTTGTGTGAATCAGCTGGCTGTGGAAAACACCTAATAGGACATTAGAAAGAAGAGAACACGAAGTTCAGCAAAGATATCTTTTCGGCGATTTCATTTTCAAAAGCTGTACAATCGCATTTAAATACATAATTTTACATAGATACAATTTTTACTTGATTCCACATAATTACGAAGGCGAATAAAAGGTGACAATTATTTTCAACTAGATATGGTTTACGAGAGGCTTAGAAACAAAATTACACAGGATTAGAACGAATTACAAGTGTGTAAAAAAATGAGCATGGAAACAAATTGAAATAATAATTTTCAACTTGAAATGGAAGTTAGGTGTGAATATGGATTACAAGAACCTTAGAAACAAAAATTACACAGGATTAGGATATAACTGTAAAATAGTTAATTTAAACGAATTATAAATGTGAGCAGGAAAAGCATGGAAACAAACTTAAAACAACTGTTCTTATAACTGAAAAATGGGATGAATTGAATGAAGACAGAGAAAGTAAGAATCGCACACACAGAGAACGAAAAAAAGGATCAAAATAGATCAAAAAAACGAAGGCTAAAGGAACATACCGAACTAAGTCCATGGTAGTTGCAGAGGTTGGACTAACTTCTTTTGAACATACAGCTCCGGCTTTTCGATGCATATTGCGAGGGCTTCTGCAGTACAGGGAAGTCGAAAACATACTGCTTTTGGCAGGTTTCTGTTGACCTTGTAAACTAATTTGAATGAATCAGTTGAGATGTTGTGGGAGGTGTTGATCTGATTTTCAATAATGGCACTTCTGATTGAACCGGTGCCTCCTTTTCGCTGCCATGTTGGGTAGTGTTTTGAAAGGACACGCATACAACGACCGATATACCTAGCTCCGCACGAGCAGGTGAACTGGTATATGCACACTGAATTGGTCCTATGCAAGAGTTTGTCCTTAGCATTGTTTCGAAGTAACGGACGGCTAGAGAATGTCGCTCTATAGTGTTGCTGCAGGGAAGGTTTCCTTTAAAGAGCTGGAAATTCCCCTCTTTGGGATATCAGCTGCTAACCCCCCTGAAACTCAGATTCATAGAGAGCGTTTTCTTCGGCGCTGAATCGCATTCTTATTTTGGTTTAGGTTTCATGTTCTTTTCGACAAAACGTGTCAGGTAACCATTTCGAGCAAGGATATTTTTGAAGAATAGGAGCTCCTCTTCCAAGCAATCTCTACTGCAGATTTCTCTAATGCGGTGGGTGATGAGAGCTCGTTTACACCTCAAAGGTATCAGCTGGTTTGCCTACATCATATTTCAGCCAGTCTGTTCCTTGCAGACATACATAACACCTCAAAATGGCTTGAATGGTATTAATGAACACTAGTTACGCTTGAAAGACACCTCTCTACAAGTACCTGCAGAGACACATGCGCATGAGTGTTCATTACTGATTATGAAATGCGCGTTTCACAATCAGTAATAAGAACCTTCTTGGCTCATACAAAAGCCACCTCTCCGGACAAAAATTAACGTGAATAGTTTGGATTCATATATCGTGGATTTTAATTACGAATTCAGAACGGCCTGATAGTAGAAAACCTCACTTTAAAATCTAAGCACGAGAACAGTCTTTATAGTGTTGCCTGTTTGCATGACCTTCACAGAATGCAGACAAACAAGATAAATAAAGAGATCCCCATTGAGTTAGATTTATGTGACACATTAGTAGAAGTTCCACTTCCTAAATATTTTCCGTGGAGAACTACTGGCCAAGTTAAACTTTAAGTACCACTTACTACCAATCAGCGAACAACTTCGAATGGTTCAATGATGTCTATGCTTGTGAGTTCAAGGTTGTATGGCGCTTGATTCGTATCAAATGCGTGTTCTAACGAACTTGCGCTTGCAGTATTGCCTGGATTTTTGGTTGCTTATAAAGGAGAGGATTTGTTCATGTGGTGGTGTCATGAGTTTAAAAAGCCTTAGCTGGTCGGTTAATGGATACATCCATCGTTGTGCACTTTGCTTGAGAAGAGTCAGTATAAGGGAAGGGAAGTGGATAATTTTAATATTTCGTAGGAACATTTTTTGCTAGGTCGCTTCTCTCCCCAACTCAGATTTTGTATATTTGTAACTACTGGATTTTAAAAAAGCCTGTGAGCGGCGCAGCTGCTGATACCGAAAATAGCCTCGTGTCAACAATTCAGTGGTACCAGCACTGCAAAGACATCACATCGTGGAATATGGAGAGAATTACTTCGTTTTTGGGCTGGGAAGGTATCGTCGCACACGTGTACGAAACTGTGTTACTGAAGAAAAAACAACCGTGGTCGTAAGCGAGTTAACAATGTTTAGGTGATCGGTTTATGTGACACCTCCCTGCAGAAAGGATTCGTGGAGAGAACTGCAGACAGAAAGTCTACGACCTAAGAATCTATTATCGCTCGACTTTTGAAACAGGGATCCATGGTATAACTCGCTGTCATCTCTTGGATATATTCATCACAGAGTGAACCATTCTAGTAATCTTGGGCATCCAATTACAAGGATACGCATGAATTCTATAGAAAGATTTCGGGGAAGATTGAAAAATTAGGATTAAGGCTATAAATGGACCTCAAAAGGAACTCAACTATAGTCATTTGGATGAATATATTTATGGAATGTGTGTGACTTTTCTGTTGACACTCCTATGCTAAATTGAGAGATGTTCCTGTCACATGTTAGAGAAAGATACCTTATGTAACCGTTTTATGCAGTTTTTATTTTTTTCCATAAATATATGTTTTATTTAATGAGAAATCCCTCTTTCATGTGATTGGTCGGCTAAATGTAGTTCTCTGATTGGCAGTTAGTGGTTTTTAAAGTTTAATTTTGCCAACCTACTCAAAAATTCCATGATAGACTATGCGTGCTGTTTGGAAGCAACGTGCTTTTTCCTCCCTAACCGGAAAATGCCGGCTTTGTGAATTACCCGCTTGGGAAACCTGTTCTTACTAGCCGGTGAATTATATTCAACCATTACTTCCACATCAAATATCTATGTCGTAAGTTCAGCTCTATCGAACTACTGCCAAAGCTTTAGGTGCTGCATCTGTAGGAACATCTTCCTCACTCGTTCAGATAAACAAGACCAGTTGGTCTGCCAAGTGACTGCTGTGAAGCCCAGTAACTGAAAAGTACTGGATAAAGTCGAAAACCTCTTCTTTTCTTACCTTGTACTTCATCAATCTTATTCTTGTTCTCTCAGGCAGATACTATTGCTGTCTCTAATATTTAGCATAAGTTATGGTAATTACTAATATGGCGATTGAAAATAGCCTTAGAAAAAGCATCGAACCACCACATTCTGTAATCACAAGGGCATCAGTAAGAGGAGGCAATAACCCAGGCGCATCAACTCTATCTCTCATACCTATTCTCAGGACCCGCGTACATCTCTCCTGTTCTGATACTACACCTACATTGTCACAGTCTAGCACTGAAACGCCACAGGCAAAACCAGGTGGACACGATACAACAGCTGTATGTATGTATGTATTGGAAGCCAGCTAAAGAAAGAAACGCTCAAGACGTCATGGGACCTCGGAAGCTTCTTCTAGAAAAGGGGAAAAATGTCAGGCCTGCAGTGCTGTCGTTTCTAGAACTGATTCAGCATTTGAATGCAATATTTGCAAAATGACGGGTACATTGCCGTTATGACAAAGGGGGGCTAAAGTCATATTATGAGTTTATGAGAAATAATCCGCGCCTATGGTTTTGGTTCATCTGCCCACTTTGTTGCCCTCGCATGGTATCGCACACAGTGTCTCCGGATAGCACAAAGAGCACGCCACTCTTGTGTATTGACACAGTCTCATGCAGATCTCCACCTGATAACACCACATCACCAAAACTTGGTAAAAACTGTGAGAAGGATATTTCAGCCAAACCGACTGGAAACATCAACCTCCATAAACTGAAGACTCTCAAGGTTACACCTAGAACAGCAGGGGAAGGTGGAATCGCCAAAGCACCACTTGCATCCGTTAGCAAGCAATCCGACATAACGAACACTAGTCTGGGCCTGATGAAGTCTAAAGTGACTGAGACTACAAAGGAGGACAAGCAGCCAAAATCCAAACCTAAGTCAGAGGTCAGTAGATCGAATTCCCCCCATCCTGTTTAATATACACTTGTGCAATGATAATTTGCTTGAAAAAAGGGCCCTGTTTGATCAAGAACAGTGGTCCAATTTGTGCAGTAAATTAGATCTGAACACCAAATCAGCAAAATCGTGCTGACTGTACAGGTGTGACCAGGTTCCTCAGGGGCGGCCACGTCCCCTTAGGGTCTGCCGAAGAGGCTGAGAGAATGCCTTTGCAGGCTCAAGTGTTAACTGTCGATAGGAGTTCCAGTACAGGGGTGAGACATGATAGGCCATGGGCTGATTGGCAAATGGGGAGGGAGTCGCTGGAACTGACGCCTTCTATCTCTATGGTCACACACGGTGCTCCGGAGCTGGAAACTGGAACTCCCTGGATAAATCCGGAATAATACTGTGGGAGCTGCAGAGACTCACCTTTGGTTGTGACGACGTCAGGCCGTCTGTTATGAAACAGTGAGCCGAAGCTCTCTATAGGCCCTTATGCGACTTGTTCCAACACTCGATGGATTCGGGGAACCTGCAAAGGCATTGAAGAAAAGCCATCTTTTCTCCAATATTTAAGAGTGAGGACAGTCAAAATGCCGCTAGTTATAGACCAGTAGCTCTACTCCCAGTGGCATCAAAAGTACTGGAAAAAATTATTGATGATCACATCAGGGATTACATCGATAGGTCTAATAGACTCCATGGAGCCTAACACGGTTTCAGTAAAGGCAGATTCTGTGTAACAAACCTACTATCAGCTCGGGACGATTGAACATCATGCTGGAATATGAATGTTCCAGTCCATGTGGTCTTCCTAGACTTTGAGAAGCCATCTG